CTGTCATCATAGAGCCTTCATCCAGTAAGTGATGGAAGCAGATGAAGAGATCCACAGCCAATCACCAGGCCAAGCTCCAGGAGTTCAATCAAAGAGAGCAAAGAGGGATTCTATGAGCAAGGGATATCAAGATTACGATTTATAAAACCTACAGAAACAACCAAATCAAGCTAGTGGGAACTCATGAAGTTTAGACCAACAGCTGTGGAGCCTCCATGGTACTGGACTAGGCTGTCTGCATAAGCATGACAGTTCTGTAGCTTGATCTCTAGGGGTCCCCCTGGCAGTAGGATCTGAATTCATCCCTGGTGCATGAGCTGGCTTTTTTGAGCCCATTACCTATGATGGGACACTTTGCATTGCATTGATGCAGGGGGAGGGGCCTGCACCTGCCTAAACTGAATGTACCAGGCTCTACTGACTCCCCAAGAGACACCTTATCTTTTCAGAGGAGGGAATAGGGGTTGGGTTGGGGCAAAAGATGGGGGGGTGGGAGGAGGGAAGCTGGGGGTCTGTGATTGTTTGTAAGATAAATAAAGAATTTCTTAATAAAACAAAGTAAAAAATACAAGGATTTTACTGATGGCTCTGAGCAAACATATGGGAAGAAATTTATAAAGTGTACGTTTTTTTCATTTGGTGGTTTTAAAATAAAATTCTTTTGATTTCTTTCTATTAGATATTTGAGAAATTTTTTATACTGTGTTTTGATCATATTCACTCTCTCTTAACTCCTTCAAGATCTACTTTTCTTCACTACTTACCCAATTTTTTTATATTTTTTTCAACTCATCAAGTTCAGTTTGTATTACTTATAGTTCTTAGATATTTGGCCTTCTACTGGAACAGGGTTGACTTACCAGGGACAACACTCTTATAGGAAACTGACTATCCCCCTAGTATCTATCAAATGCCAATAGTCCTCAGCTATGGGTAGGTCTCTGTGACCATCTCCACTATGATGGTTAAATGTGCTTTGGCTTGAATTTGGATGGGTCTTGTGCCTGCTACCACAATTACTGTGAGGATACTTTCTTTGTATTCATCTACAATCTCTGGCTCTTAAAGTCTTTCTGCTCCCACCCCCATTGGAATAATGCATGAACCATGGGAGGAGGAGATATGATTTAGATGCCAAAATAGAAGTGGAGCCACAATAACTACTGGCCTGGCGAGAAATGTCCTCTTGTACAATAGTGGCACAGACATCATGAAAGACACAAATTACTTCCTGACTGTTATTCATCTACCAGAGTAATGAAAATAGGTGATAGAAATAGTATTAAACCAACTTCTGATGACTTATCATTAAACCCATAGATTATTGCATCTCTCAACACTTATCAGTGACGCTTCTATTTGCAGTAAATACAGATTAATATAGAATCCTTCAACTGGTCAAAGTGTAGAGAATAAGAGAATATAGAATGCTCAGATCTCTGACTCTTTAATCCAAGAATTATCTTCACTAAGTTTCACTAAGTTAATATGAAATTATGCTACAAACCCAGTACAGGTAATACACACACACACACACACACACACACACACACACACACACACACACACACACAAATAGTGGTAATAAGGAAAAATTATTCCACCTTGTTTACTTAGTTCAAACCACTTTATTATAAAACCATTCTTGGTTGGAGAAAGAATTAAGAATGTAACTTGTTAGTGGTAGATTTAGTTTTCCAAATCCACTTGAAATAAATGAATAAGCAATCAAAAAAGTCTGTGACTACAAATCTTCAGCAGAACAAGAATACAAGACCAAATGATGAACACTCCACACACTTTGGTTTCAAGAAGAACAAATTGGAACTAAGTCTGAATTTTTCTTCCACTGGCTAGCTTTCAAATGAGTTCTATGCATGCAGTTGAGGAAACAAGGATATCAACATTAATTAACTGTGGACCCTGTGAACTACACAATCAACCTTCCACAGAAGATGCACTGTTGTATGGGTAACCTAGCACCCTCTGATTGAATATGAAGCCTCCTCCACAGGAGGCAACCCATTCTGTAAACCTAATCAACCACCCATATCTAAGAAGGTCATAGGCCCAAAGGGGTAACTTAAATTTTAGTTGATTAACTAAATTGAGATAGTATCATTTGTCTTCTAAATATCTGTGTTTATACATGTAGACAACAGCTATTCTCATCCATATTCAGCAAAGCATCTTTAGTGAATGCAAAGACAGCCATGAAGCTTAGAATAAGTGACAGCTGAGTGCGCATTCCTAAACAAGACTTTATACTATGTCCTCTAAGGCTCAGGGAACATCATGGAGGAGGTGACATGAAGAATGTAAAAGCCAGAAGATAGGAGGAGGGGCTGCAAAATCATAGCCTCTTGACACATTATACATATTATAGTCACAAACGTAAAACACCTACAGTTACTTGCATTTGACCAAAAAGACTGGCCTGAACAATGTCATGGAATCATATCCAGCTTTTTTTTTCTTTATTTTATTTTTTTATTGAACTTTTGTATTGATTTTTTTTTAATTTGTATTTTTATTTTGCAATACAATTCAGTTCTACATATCAGCCACGGATTCCCTTGTTTTCCCCACTCCCACCCCTCTCCCCTTCCCCCCAGCCCACCCCCCATTCCCACCTCCTCCAGGCCAAAGCCTCCCCTGCGGACTGAGATCAACCTGGTAGACTCAGTCCAGGTAGGTTCAGTCCCCTCCTCCCAGGCCGAGCCAAGCGATCCTGCATAGGTCCCTGGTTTCAAACAGCCGACTCATGCAATGAGCACAGGACCCGGTCCCACTGCCTGGATGCCTCCCAAACAGATTAAGCCAATCAACTGTCTCACCCATTCAGAGGGCCTGATCCAGTTGGTGACCCCTCAGTCATTGGTTCAAAGTTCATGTGTTTCCATTCGTTTGGCTATTTGTCCCTGTGCTTTATCCAACCTTGGTCTCAACAATTCTCGCTCATATAAACCCTCCTCATTCTCGCTAATTGGACTCCCAGAGATCCACCAGGGGCATAGCCATGGATCTCTGCATCCAGATACCTCAGTCATTGGATGGGGTTTCTAGCACGACAATTAGGGTGTTTGGCCATCCCATCATCAGAGTAGGTCAGTTCGGGCTGTATCTCAACCATTGCCAGCAGTCTGTTTTTTGTGGATTTCTGTGGGCCTCTCTAGCACTCTGCTTCTTCCTATTCTCATGTGGTCTTCATTTATCATGGTCTCCTATTCCTTGTTCTCCCTCTCTGTTGTTGATCCAGCTGGGATCTCCCGCTCCCCCAAGCTCTCTTTCCCTCGACCCTCGCCCTTCATTACCCCCACTCATGTCCAGGCTGTTCATGATGATCTCTTCCATTTCTCCTTCATTGGGCAATCCCTGTGTCTTTCTTGGGGTCCTGTTTCCAGGTAGCCTCCCTGGTGATGTGAGTAACAGTCCAGTCATCCTTGTTCCTCATCTAGTATCCTCCTATGAGTTATTACATAGCATGTTTGTCTTTCTGAGTCTGGGTTACCTCACTCAGGATGATTTTTTCTAGATCCATCCATTTGTCTACAAACCTCATGATGTCATTGTTTTTCTCTGCTGAGTAGTATTCCATTGTGTATATGGACCACATTTTGTTTATCCATTCTTCAGCTGAAGGTCATCTAGGTTGTTTCCATGTTCTGGCTATTACAAACAATGCTGATATGAACATAGCTGAACAAGTGCTCTTGTGATGTGGTTGAGCATTCCTTGGGTATATGCCCAAGAGTGGTATAGCTGGATCTTGGGGGAGATGGATTCCTAATCTTCTAAGAAAGCACCATATTGATTTTCAAAGTGGTAGTACAAGCTTGCATTCCCACCAGCAGTGGAGGAGAGTTCCCCTAGCTCCACATCCTCTCCAGCATAAGGTGTCTTCAGTGTTTTTGATCTTAGCCATTCTGACAGGCGTAAGGTGGTATCTCAGAGTTGTTTTGATTTGCATTTCCCTGATGATTAGGGATGTTGAGCAATTCCTTAAATGTCTTTCAGCCATTTGAGTTTCCTCTGTTGAGAATTCTCTGTTTAGTTCTGTAGCCCATTTCTTAATTGGACTGTTGGGCATTTTGATGTCTAACTTCTTGAGTTCCTTATATATTCTGGATATCAGTCCTCTGTGAAGATCTTTTCCCATTCTGTAGGCTGTCGCTTTGCCTTGTTGACCGTATCCTTTGCTCTACAAAAGCTTCTCAGTTTCAAGATGTCCCATTGATTGATTGTTTCTTTCAGTGTCTGTGCTACTGGTGTTCTATTTAGGAAGTGATCTCCTATGCCAATGTGTTCAAGACTACTTCCTACTTTCTCTTCTAGCAGGTTCAGAGTAGCTGGATTTATGTTGAGGTCCTTGATCCACTTGGACTTAAGTTTTGTGCACGGTGATAGATATGGATCTATTTGCAGCCTTCTACATGTTGATATCCAGTTATGCCAGCACCATTTGTTGAAGATGCTTTCTTTTTTCCATTGTGCACTTTTGGCTTCTTTGTCAAAAATTATATGTTCATAGGTGTGAGGATTAATGTCAGGGTCTTCAATTTGATTCCATTGGTCCACATGTCAGTTTTTATGCCAGTACCAAACTGTTTTTATTACTGTAGGTCTATAGTAGAGCTTGAAGTCAGGGATCGTGATGCCTCCAGAGGTTGTGTTATTGTACAGAATTCTTTTGGCTATCCTGGGTTTTTTGTTTTTCCATATGAAGTTGAGTATTATTCTTTCCAAGTCTGTGAAGAATTGTGTTGGTATTTTGATGGGGATTGCATTGAATCTGTAGATTGCTTTTGGTAAGATTGCCATTTTTACTATGTTAGTTCTGCCTATCCATGAGCATGGGAGATCTTTCCATTTTCTGAGATCTTCTTCAATTTCTTTTTTCAGGGACATATCCAGCTTTTAAAGTACTTCCCATTACTACTGACTACCAATTTTTTTGTTGTTGTTGTTTTCAGGTTTATTGGAAATATGAAAGAACAGATTCAAACGGCTCCATGTGGTGTTTTGAAATTCATCCCAAATGTAGTCTGAGTGACCTGCAGGTTAGAGAGGCTCCCAAAGTCCAGAAGCATTTCCTTGGTGTCAGGATCTACCTCAACGTTCTCCTGATCCAGGGCTGAGACCTCAGGAACATAATTATCTCTCCTTTCGCTCTCTTCTTTCTGCAACTTGATAGAAATACCTCTCACAGGACCTCTCTGAATTTTCCTCATCAGATGTGTAACATAGCTGGCTATCTTGTTGCAGAGTTTCTTGCTGGGGATAATGGCCATCTCCTCACACATGCACTTGTTGGTGTGGAAGTCATTATGCAGGCACGTGTAGTACTTCTCAATAATGACCCAGGCCACCTTCTTCACAGTCTTGGTGTGAACAACGCCCATGTTGGACGAATCTTAAAAGGTCTTATTAATAAAAACAAACCTGGTGACAGTTATTGGGGTGAATGCTGGAAAATCAGAGAAGCAGAACCAGCCACAGCTAACCTCACCTCACCAATTCCTCAGCTGATCTCATTTCCTCAAACTGGAAGCCTCTGTGTCTTCATCCAAATGGCTCTCATCTGAACTGCTGCTCAAAAGCCTAAAAGCTTAATAGACTCTAGTTCCTGGTTTTCTCGACTTATATACCTTTCTGCTTCCTGCTATCACTTCCTGAGATTAAAGAGATGTGTCACCATGCCTGGCTGTTTCCAGTGTGGCTTTGAACTCACAGAGATTCGGATAGACCTCTGCCTCAAGAATGCTAGGGTTAAAGGTGTGTGTGCTGCCATTTTTTGGCCTCTATATCTATCTAGCAGTTGTTTTGTTCTCTGACGCCAGGTAAGTTTATTAAGGTGCACAATATATTGGAGGACACAATATTACCACAGGTCCTGGTAGAAGAGCTGATTACCAATTTGTAATAAATTCTGGAAGAGAAGAAATTATTGTCCTTGGCTGTGTACTACTTCTGTGCCCATCAGGATCCAATGGGTAGCTCCAAGTGCATAGTCAAACAACCCCAAATAAACTCATTTTATCACAGAATAAATCACAAAGAGACATGAATGTGAGCAAGAAATATAAAGTGAGGAGGATGGGTAGACAAGGGAGGAAAAGAGAGTCTTAGTTGAACAGATTAAAAGGGGGTGAGAATAATCAGAATATAGATACATGTGGATAACATAGTACATGTAGATAATTTTCAAAGTTGAAATTTAATTAATAAAAAGAGAGACCAATTAAAGAAATGTTTGGTTGTTGAAGTTACAAACTGCTTTGGTGAAAAAGTTAGTTAATAAATAAAACTTAGTAAATAAATGACAAAATACATTTTGGTCTACACAAAAGTGACTGTGATAGAATTCAGAGTAGATGATTTGTCTTGCATTTAGGTATTCATTTCAATTGGAAGTAGAGTTTTACTTCTTGAAAGTTTTCTGGAATGTTAATTTTTTACATATCAAGTGCACTTCTCTACATTTGTTTTATGTCAACTTTTCTCTTCATCTATTTGTTAGGTTGATAACTGTTTTATAGGTGCTCTCCATTAGCCAAGGCAATAGCTGTATTAGGTGTGTACAGAAGGTGTGAGAGGTAAGCCTCCATAGTAGTGTTATTTTATCTTTCTTCATGCAGAGGAAGTGTGAATATTCTGTAACTGCCAACCCTAATATTTATCAGTTGACTGAATTCAAATCATGTCTTAAGTTTGAAAATGATGATGAAAAGCAATCAGTTATCAAATCACTGTAAAACCCTCAGGACTTATTATTCAAAGGAAGGGAGGAAAAAAAACACATGGATAACCATTGCCCTTTCCTTAAAAAAGAAAAGCTTTGAAATATGTTTAAAAATATTTTATGAGGTCACAATAAAAAAAAACATAATTGGAAGAAAAATTCTGCTTGTCTAAGCGAAGAGCACATTTGTAGTGGTAGGGTAAATGTTTTATCGATTGGGAAGCTGGGAAACTCAAGTCATTACTCACCACCAGCTAAAGAATAATTGCTAATGCTCTGGCAGAAAGATTAAAAACAGTTTCTGGAAGTATTCTTTACAGTGATCAATGGTGTATCATCCCAGGCCATTGGCTCTTCAATAACATTTCCCCTTTTGGGATACAATCAATTTTTATAATATGATTCATTTGCCAGTGGGCATTCATTCCTCATGCGATGAAAAGGCATTCATGCATCTTAGATTGTTGAAAGTAATCTTATGCAGCAAAGACCAGGCTGTGGACAGAAGACCCACTTGAACCCATTTCTATTTTAAATAGCTTTGGAAATAATCTTTACTCAGGAAGGGGGAGGAGGAAGTGGGCAGTTGCTAGCTTCTTTATTGTTGCTTTGTTAATCTTTCGAGATTGTATTTAGCACACTGGCAGCAGTTGTGAACATCCTAACACAGGGATATTGACTGAGAGTGTTATGTCAGCTTTGCTCATATGCCACCACGAGCTGAACTCATTTGTACTACCAAAGAACTGATAAGCCAAGGTTGCCCACAGTTCTCTAGGTCCCAGCATTCTTTGGCAGAACTCAACTTTGCTTCACTGCTCCAGACCATGTTAACACATTCCAGCTTTAATAAACAACAGCTTCAATCATGAGATATACCCATTCTAATACTTCTCCCACAAGAATGCATGCTGAAAACCTGGAGCTATGATATCTTAAGCTCAAGCCTGTTATTGCACATATGATGAGAGAAACCCTAGCCCTGTTGCTTGCCAAATTGGTGAATAGTGAGGAGGAGGAGTAAGACAAGGAGGAGCAGCAGGAGGAATAAAAGGAAGAGGAGGGGGAGGATGAAGAGAAATTTCAGGAACAGGATGAGGAGGAAGAAAGGGAGAAGGAATAGGAGCAGGGGGCATGAAGAAAGCAGAGGAGGAAGAGAAGGAGGGGTAAGAGGAAGAAAGGAGAAAGAAGGAAAAGGAGGAGAAGAAGATGAAGAAAAAGAAGAAAGAAGGAGAAGGAGAAGGAGAAGAAAACAAAGCCAAGTTCACAAAGTAATAAAAGTGATTTTCCCCCCAGTTGGTGGTGGCATGCACCTTTAATTCCAACACCTAGGAGGCAGAGATAAGTGTATTTCTGAGTTCAAGATTAGCCTGGTGGACAGAGCAAGTTCCAGGACAGCCAGGGCTACACAGAGAAAACCTGTCTCACACACACACACACACACACAAAAAAAAAAAAAAAAAAAAAAAAAAAAAAACAATTATGAAATAAGCTGTTCAGCATCACAGAGCCAAAGCTGGAATTTTATTTCAGGGTTTGAACAATGTTTTTATGAGATTGCAGAAAACTCAATCTACTTTCTGCCTAATCCAAACCTTTCCTCAAAATCTCTCTCATGTCTTATGAAATAGAAACAACAAATTAAAACGGAAACTTGGCTTAGAGTGGTTACTTTTCAATGAACTCCTTTTGCAACTGTAATATTATGCCCTACGTAGGTGTCTGATATGTCTGATTTCCCTAAAACATTTTTTCACACTCATCGACTGCATTTCATTGTTGCATCTACATCCTATAGTTATTTATTGAAACACAATATTATTCTTACTATCTCTCTTTTGACTTCAAAGGGAAAATGCTACTCATAATAAAAGTGAAGACTAAAAGAAAACGTATCTATTTTGCTTTAAAGATTTCATTTTGTTTTTAAAATTGATACTTATACACATTAGGTATGTTACTGTGGTATTACTTTTCCTGAAATAAATGTTAGGTGATCTTTCTTGTAATCAAAAAGTTAAATTTTGGATGTTTACTTTGTTCTAGACATCAAGAAAAAGGCAAATTTTTAGAAGATGTGTGTGTATAAAAACTAGGCTATTTACTTGTCTGTCACACGAATTTTATGAACTGGAACTGAAATGTGGTGGGCATGTACTATTACCTTCTTTTCTTGCTCTTTAATCACACTATAAACCTGAAAAGTGAACACTAACTACCATCACAGAACTAGCTTCAATCATACTAATCACAGAACTGGGTCTCTAGACAGTGGATTTTCTTAGCTATCTTGCTTTATATTCTGCTCATAATTATAAAGGTTTCCAAATTCTTAAGTATGTATTTCTATACCTGTAATTCAAGCCTTTTCCAAATCTACACCCAATGAACTCACTTGCCCAGTGTATTATTTAGCAACTGATGTTTGAATCTTAAGTGCCTACCTTTATTCTTTTTGTGATATTTGGCCTTGTGTCTTTCCTCCTTTGTAATTTTATTTTAATGTTGAAAGAAATCACAGTCTAATTTGAAATTTCCAGAATTTACCTTTCCATCCTCTAAACTTTTGTTTCACCTTGCTTTATACTGCCCAAGAATACTTTTTATTTGCATGTTATAATCATATAGCTGTCTCATAGGCTTTATTATATATTTGCATTTGTCTTGGTGTGTACAAACATTCAAGATTCATAACAGGTACTATATTTGCTAAATTAGTGAAATATATATGTGTTAGCAGATATTTTATTAGGAGAATTGTTACAAACATTTTTCTAGATGTATATGTCTTTCCTGTGAGAACACTATCAATTTGTTTTAGTTTTAACCAAGTTAATTTCAGTCAGACCTTGGTCTTTGGGAAAAATGTCATTTTTCTAAGGTTTTAGGAAAAGCAAAAATTATGTTTTTACAGTTCTGGCTTCTGACATGACAATTTAGCATAGACATATCTGGTTTCCCTGGAGAACACTCTCAGCTGCATATCGATGTCTTCTCCTTTGTCCTCATGAGGACTTCACTCTGTTCTTGTATATCCCTGGTGTCTCTCTTCTAAGAGTCACAATTGAGCTTGAATAAAGCTTTATGTAATGAGATTACTGTAACTTGGCTATCTTTTACAGGTTCTGTCTTCAAATACACTGAAATTCAGAGGCACTAACTAGGCTTAGGTGTTAAACATATACATTAGAGGAAGTGAAATGTGACTTTTGTGAAAAGACATAAAATACTATATTATGATGAACTGATTATTGAGTCTTAAGAATGAATAATTATCATGCAACCAATTGAATTCTTTTTAATGCTTTTAAAGGATGGTCACTGTGTTAACAACTTTTATGTCAGCTTGACACAAGTTATAGTCAACTAAGTGGAAGGGACCTTGTGTTGCACAAATTCTCAATGGTCTTATAATAAAAACCAAGAGCTGTATATCAGGGTGAAAGCTGAAGGACCAGAGAAGCAGAGCAAGCCACAGCAACCACCTTTTACCTCACCAACTTCTGAGCCTGAACAAGCCTGAGTTCCTGTCTCCTCCCGCCTTATGTTCCTTTCTCTGTCCAGTCACTTCCTTCTGACCTCTGTGGCTAACTCTGTGACTGACTCCTCTGATCTTCAAGCAAGTTTTATTTCTTAGATTACAAACAATATATCATCATA